CAGTCCATGGCTTTCCTTTAAAACTTTTGCTTTGATATTGGTGGGCCACTTCTCCAAGACTTTGTTGGCAGTGACCTCATCAAAAAGGTGTCTGAAATCTTGTTCTATCTGTAATGCAAAAATACAAAAAGGAGTGATAAGTGACACTGCAGGCTGCATGGAATATTTCAGTGATTTAATGAAGTTGTCTTACCAGTCCTGGTGTGTCCAGAAACCACAGGAAGACTGAGAAGACATCTGCTGCTTTCTTTTCATCTTTGACCATTGAATGACGATACATGAAGGTAGCTTTCATCTTCTCACAGATAGTGTCTTCATCAGCAGAGCGTCTCAAAACAGCAATAACCTAGTAACCTAAGGGGTCCTGTGATCTGTCCAGAGGAGGAGCAGACAGATATCACTGAACCTCCATTATGGCATCTGCAGTAGCGTTCTGAGATTTTCTGGCATCTTCTGCATATTTGTCAAGAAGCTTTCACAGGTCAGTGCCTGAAAATAAAACATTACAGGACATTTATAAAGCATTTAATTACAAACAAATAAATATATCAATACAATTGTGATTAATGGTGTACCCGTGGAAGCCGCAGCAGGTTCTGGCTGTGCCGGTGTTGATGATGTTGATGATACGTCGTCGTGGGGTGCATTTCGGATTAAGGCAGCACACTCTGACTTCAAGCGATGCACAGCTGCATCAGCGCTCACTGGATTGTGAAAGCCAATTAGTATTTTTGCTTAGGAAATAAACTCCCAACTTCAGCTTTTCTTTCATGATCTTCCATAATCATTCAGCATTGCATCTCAGTCTTCAGCCATTTCAGCATTGCTTGGGCAATTCTTCAGCAATCGGCATTCACACACGTTTTTCAGGAAATGTCTTTGCCTAGTTTCAATTTCACATTTTTAATTGATGTTCAGTGTAAGCAGTGCTGCTGTTTAATGAAGAACAGTGTTTCTTAGACTTTAGACTGCCAGTATGTGTTTTATACAGGAAGGCTCACATTAACAATATGTACATTTTTTGTAATGTAGCCATTATAAGATGTATTCATTATGTCAGCTGTAATATGTGAAATATGTTATTTTATATTTTGCATAATCAGTTTGTTGTTATATGATTGAAAAATTGTTGCAAATTCATATAATGCTTAAGAACTGAGTAGAAATTTGTAATCATGGTTCTTCAGCAATCGGCATTCACACACATGTTCTTCAGGAAATGACTTTGCCTAGTTTCAATTTCACATTTTTAATTGATGTTCAGTGTAAGCAGTGCTGCTGTTTAATGAAGAACAGTGTTTCTTAGACTTTAGACTGCCAGTATGTGTTTTATACAGGAAGGCTCACATTAACAATATGTACATTTTTTGTAATGTAGCCATTATAAGATGTATTCATTATGTCAGCTGTAATATGTGAAATATGTTATTTTATATTTTGCATAATCAGTTTGTTGTTATATGATTGAAAAATTGTTGCAAATTCATATAATGCTTAAGAACTGATTAGAAATTTGTAATCATGGCTCAAGGATCATTATGACTTAATTAAATTACCTTTCTATGGATCAGGTCAGGGCACTATCTAAATAAAATTTTTGAAACAGTATGTGGAATCGGTGCTTTTTGTCACAAATGATATGGCATGAAGCTCTTTCTCTACAAAATCTAAGGAACCAATGACATCTAATTGATACAGGCTGATGAGATTGATTTAGCTAGTTTACCCACTTTATTGTGTTTTGTGCAATCAAAAAAATGTATTTTCATATTATTAAAGCACCTTAACAATTCATTTTTATGCCACATAAAAAGACAGCTAAATCTACAAAAACATCACATCTACCATTATGTTTATTCATTACAAATCATGTACTAATTTAGTTATGTATGTCCATATCAATCTAGGAATTATATCTTCCTCTAGATTTGACCTACAAGTATTTCTAGCCCTGCCCACCTTCTCTGAATTCTACATAACTGAGGTCCATTTATTCTGTTATCCATGATTTTTAATTATACGTTTTAACTCTGACTTGCTATACTTGATCTCCATACATACTGTATCTGAAATACTTCCTGCTCCTTTATCACATTTAACCTGCTTGCTCATTGCCCCCTACTCCTATACATGCTGGAATCTGCACAAATTTTACATTATTTCTGAGTTTTGAAGATTATTTGTTAACAGAGCTAATTACTTTTGAGTACTTTTGCATTAAACATATTAAAGCTGAGCTGGAATCTGAGCCTAACAACACTGATCTTCCCACTGGTCAATAGTCTTCCATCTCCACAGAGGCCAGCCATATAGCTAATAATTTTCCTGTATAAATGGCTAATATGTTATTTATTCTTTTGGCTATAGACACTTTCAGTTCATGAATGATACAAGCTTTATATATTTTATTGGGATATTTTCCTTCATATATACGTACTTCTCTTTTCCCACATCCATTAAACCTAATCATCTTTCCTGAGTAATGAAAAATCAACCTAAATATCCTCAAGCAACCTCACTTTGTACTGCTCTCTACAGCTGACTCGCAGCTGTTGTGGTCAACTCGATGAGATAACATCACGTGATCACTATCACCTGACGATGACACGTTATTTTTACGGCAATAGCGATTTGTATCTTATGGTTATTTTCCTCTCGTGTACAGTGAACGCAAACACATTATCAGGCGTTTGACTGTGACTCTTAAAATATAGTCAATGACAGCAGTTTATTTAACACGGGATTATCGGCTTCAATTTCCCAGAATGCCTCACATGCTGCCGTCTGGCGAAGGCGTGACTGTGTAGAATAGTCATCTAGCCTCGTTTGACATTCAAGGAGTTGTTGTTACTATGCCTTTTATTGGATGAAATAAGATAAAGTGTGAAATAAAATAACAAGGGAAGGCGAAATCTGTTGTTGTCAATACACCAGCAATGCCTCTCTTCACGACCAACCCATTTGACCAAGATGTTGGTGAGTAATCAGAACTGGAGGCTATGTCTAGCACGCTATCTGAAGAAGCTGTGATCAGAAAGCTTTGTTTGTGTTCCCCAGTTGTGTGTAGCGTTTCCGTTTTCCTTGGACTTGTGTTTAGATGTTATACGGCTGGCTTGCAGTATAAAATGCCTGATATTTAAACTGACAATTTTTGTTTGTCTGTTTTATTTGTTTGTTGTGGTTGGTTCAGTTTGCCAGAGAGCACCGTTGGCTAACTACCTTTGTGGTTTAGCTAGCAGCAATTAGCATCCAAAATCCTTGAAAACGTTCGGAGTTCGACATTTGAAGAGTCAGACATAAGACTACTTGTATTTTATTATTTAAGCCGCAATATATGAAGAGCTTATCATTTTATCAGGGTTACTGTTAGTAGCAAGACACAGCTGTTGCCATAGGCTAATTGAAGTAACCAGCTAGCTGTATGCCTAATCAGTACCTCTCCTGTATCCCATCGCATGTTGGCCAACTAATACGATTAGCCTGACATCTTACAGTTACCAAAAGCAAAGAGGATGCGGTGTGGCGTGTCCAATCATAAAGCTACGATATGTTTCCTTTTCTCTTTGTTGTGTGTCGAGTTGTTAACTACTTCATTTGCATGAACAGTGTACGGTGGCTGCGGACAAAGTATACAAACACTAACTGCACCAAACAGTCCTGACACCCAGCAGGAAATGCTAAGTTTGTAACGCTTATGATGGGTATTTTTCGACTATCAGGTGTCAGTGTCAGTGGTCATTTTCAGGCTGGAATAAAAAAATGCCCCCAAGTATCTTCATGGCAGTGTTGATGATTTATTTTTTCCTTTAATACGGAGAATTAAATACCTTAAAAACAATTTTGTGTATCTTGTTGAGGCAAAAATTATATAAAAAGGGTTCATAACACAGCTTTTGTTTGTAGAGATGTTTTAGAGGCAAAGGAGTTTGTCCAACAAAGGCCAAAAGAGACCAGCAAAAGCAACTGCAGTTTTTGCCTTAAGAAGCCGTATTATTTCTGCACTTAGGAAGATCCTACTTATCTCTAAATGCAGTAGCTAAGTCATGAGGAAAAGTACTTTTTGTTTACTTGGTTGTTGTGTTTTCTTCCTGCAGAGAAAGCAACCAGTGAGATGAACACAGCCGAGGACTGGGGCCTCATTCTGGACATATGTGATAAGATAGGGCAGTCACGCACTGGGTTAGTTAACTCTCTTCATTCTGAGTCGCACACAAACACATTTATCAGGTTTTTTTAAAAGGATTTTTAATTGCTAAAGGTAGATAGGTGTCCCAGGGTTGGAGTTGGAGAAATTTTGAGATAAATATGGATATTCAGTAATACCCATATTTTACTTGGTACATCTGAAATATTTTTGGTTCTTCCCAAGCAGTTGATTCTGCCTTTCTATTGCAGGCCAAAAGAATGCCTCCGCTCCATTATGAGAAGAGTGAACCACAAGGATCCCCATGTGGCCATGCAGGCACTGACTGTAAGCAGACTGGAAGCCATGTTTAGTATCAGCATGATGTATCATGGTTCATGAAGAGCTTGTGTCATCTAACCCTGAATTAACCTTTCAATGAGATGTGCGCAGTAACCAAGTAGTAGGAGTAACCAAGTATGATAAGTTACATCCTAATAGGTGCTACATGTTTGTCACCTGTTGTTAAGGGTTAATTAATGAGTTGGATGAATGTTTTGTATCCTGTGGCCACACAGCTTCTTGGTGCTTGCGTCTCAAACTGTGGGAAGATATTCCACTTGGAGGTGTGCTCCAGAGAGTTTGCCAGTGAAGTCAGTAGTGTCTTAAACAAGGTGTGTTATTTTCACTTTTATTGTGTTATTCAGAGAATGCTCCATCCATTACTTGTGCTCCATTCTTGTACTGATTCTTTTTTTTTTTCTTTATTGAACATGCATATCCAGGGCCACCCCAAAGTGTGTGAAAAGCTGAAGGCCCTGATGGTGGAGTGGGCAGAGGACTTCCGCAATGATCCACAACTCAGTCTGATCTCCGCGATGATCAAGAATCTACGTGAGCAGGGTGTTACTTTCCCTGCTGTGGGGTCCCAGGTAGGTGAACATGGTGGTCTTTGGCACACTGGATTGTTTTGTTTAAACAAGGAGACTTATCCTCTTTTCCATCTAGGTCATGAATTGTAAGTATGTAATTATTGTTTTTTCACAGGCTGCAGAGCAAGCAAAAGCAAGCCCAGCTTTAGTGGCAAAGGATCCCTCCACCTCAACAAACAAAAAAGAAGAGGAAGACTTGGCCAAAGGTAAATAGGCATCTAGCTGATCATCAGACAGTTTGGCTGTTTTTGTACATCACTGAAACGCTTTAGGGTTTTCATTTCTCAGCAATCAATGGAGAAATGTATTTTATCACACAGGCTTCATTCACCAGCCTTTCTTAAGAATAAATTTATTCTTAAAACCCATTTAAGGAGTTTTGAATCAGATGTAGACTTTTCTTAGGACCTTTCTTAAGAACAAGTTTAAGAAAACACTTGGATGTTGGTGAATGAGGCCCATCGCCTTTAAATATGTGCACATTAATACCTTTAATTCTTTTATTCATATATCAAAAATCACCGTTTACTATGGATTAATGAATTGTGAATGTTTAGTTAGATTTAAGGGTTTTCAGGGTCAAACACACAGTCGCTCATATGCTTCTTTTGTTTGCAGCGATTGAGCTGTCACTGAAGGAGCAGCGCCAGCAGCCGCAGACCTCTCTGTCAAGCCTTTACCCAAGCACCTCCAGCCTGCTCTCCTCACATAAGTCGGAGGGCAGGAAAGTCCGTGCCATCTACGACTTTGAGGCTGCTGAGGACAATGAGCTTACCTTCAAGTCAGGAGAAATCATCACTATCCTGGATGATAGGTAAATGTACACACAAATAAACAAAACATGCACTGTATACAAGGATTTGTCAATAAACTGAGAGGACTCAGGGTAGCTAGGTGGTGTTCTGAGTTGGCTGGCTGTTAAATCTACAATCAAAAGAAGATTATCTTGAAATATCTCATTATCCCATTTTTAACCAATCTGATGAGCAGCCTTTGGGTCCTGGTACTATTTATAAAAAAGCTATTGCTCTCTGAAATGGCTTTTATAGACTTAATAATGAATGTTTTTTTTTGTTTGTTTGTTTTTTTTTTCAAAGACAATGAAAACTTTGGAGATGAACCTTCTGATCTAATTTGGGATATCTTTAACATGTCTTAAGATCTGCACTGAGAAGATGGCAGATTAAACCCAGTTGGTAAATAATGTAGTTTTTCTTCATATCTGATGGGTTTCCATTTTATTTCAGTGACCCCAACTGGTGGAAAGGTGAAACATACCAGGGTGTGGGGTTGTTCCCTTCTAACTTTGTCACTGCTGACCTCACTGCAGAGCCTGAGATGAGTGAGTACACACATACACACCCTTTATCCACTTAGGTCATCTCTAGCTCTTTGATAGCACATTTAGTCCATTAGCAGAATTGCTTTATTGATCCCCAAGTGATGAATACGTCGTCATTTACTTCCCCACCGGTTGAAACAATACAAAGAATGCAATCACACAAACAACGCAGTAAAGATATTTGTGACACATGCAAAGAAGTGGGTGATTGCAGTAGAGTGAGGTGTCTCAGGAGGAGCTTTAAGCTGCTTCAAATGATTAAGCATCCAGTGTATTTACAAAACGTCATATTCTCTTTTGTTTGTCCCTGAAGTACGCTTAATAGCATGTACTATATGTTAAGTAGAATTTTGAAATCAAGGCTTCTTGATTGTATCATGGCTTTAAAATTTAAAATTAATTTAGTTAATTTATTAACTGCTGATTGAGGCCATTAAAATAATTTTGCTCCGGATTTTGCTTTTTCCTCCATTAGTATAAAAACAACTATAGTCCCTGGTAGGCTAGTGGTTAAGGTGCAGCGCTCTTGCCGCTGCGGCCCGGGTTCGAATCAGGGTTACGTCAGGAAGGGCATCCAGCGTAAAACACGTGCCAAATGTCAACATGCGAGTCGTCAGTGTAACAATTCGCTGTGGCGACCCCTAAACGGGAAAAGCTGAAAGTGTCTTTCTTAGTATAAAAACAACTATAGCAGGCATCTGCTGTTTTTATTGTTACTTAATCTGTTGCTTCAAGATGATTTGTCAATAGATTCTTTCAGATTGTAACTTATTTCCATCTGATGTCTTGGCCAGTCTTTGGCGCAAGTGTGGAGCAATTTCTGACCAACTAGTCTGCGTGTTGTGACATTTTATTATAAGTGTAATGGTTCCATTGTTTTGCTATTGTCGCATCTGCTTCTACTTGGAAATCCACAGTGAAGACAGAGAAGAAGACTGTACAGTTCAGTGAGGACATCCAGGTGGAGACCATTGAGCCAGAACAGGAGCCTGTATATATAGATGAGGTAAGTTCCCATTTGTTGTAAATCATCATCAGCACACAATTGTTGCATCAGTAAATTAGAGCTGCCCTTCCATTTAGTGTTATCTGAGTGGCAATAAGTCAAAATCATAGACTAACATGGACAAGGTTTCTATTAAAAATGTATTAATTTCTCCAGGAGAGTTGCTTTTCTCTCCCAGATGGAGTTATAACGTGTTAGTTTTTTTAACTCATCACATGTACTTTGCGAGTGTCGTCACTGAAGCTTTACTGAAACCTTTCAGGACAAAATGGACCAGTTACTGCAGATGATTCAGAGTGCAGATCCCACAGACAACCAGTCAGACAGTGTTGAGTTGCTACAGCTGGAAGGTAAAATGAATTTAAGACAAATAATCTAAATAAATAAATGAAAGTGTGAGGAAAAGTCATACAGAAACAGCTATGGTCATTTGCTGTAAGAGATAGTTGAAAGTTGCCTAAAGATGAAATCAGTAACTGTGATTAATATGGTTTAATTCATCTCAGGTGCCTGCAATCAAATGGGACCCCTCATTGACCAGAAATTGGAGGATATAGACAGGTGCATTACACAGAAATTACCTGTTTTCCTGGTGGATAAACACTTTTTTTTTTTTTTTAGAAAAGAAACATTTGAGAACAGAATACAGATGTTTAACAAAGATCAATATAATTCACAACTTCATCTCCAAAATATGTAGTTATTTTTAATTTGACTGTGTGAACTTGTGGGTTTGTCTCATCAGAAAACACTCAGAACTATCGGAGCTGAATGTGAAGGTGATGGAAGCTCTGTCTTTGTATGCCAAGTTGATGAATGAGGATCCTGTCTATGCCATGTATGCCAAGCTGCAGAGCCAGCAGTACTACATGCAGCAGCCTGCCAGTGCCGCACAGCAGGTATAGTCGACTTGTCTTTGGTGTGACCTTGAAATAGTGAGACCATTATATACTGTAAATGCAATGACATTTTAACCAGAAAGTGTTTTCCATTCTACCTTCTCTATCTATTTCAGCAAAAAAGGCAGAAACAGTCTTTTAATCATCTACAATAAGTTGAATTTTTGCTGTCATGATTCCTGCTCTCATTGGGTCCTTACAGTGTTATATTTAGAAAAAGATGCAGCTATGTAGTTTTTTTTAACCCACTTGCACCCAAACAAATGTATGTCTCAGCACATCTCACCCAAACTATCTTGTATTGCACTCAAATGTAGCATCTTGATGAATAAAAAGTGAACTGAACTAGATGGGTTTTGCTTGGATTTCCTAATTTTGGTACTCCAGTTCTGTAATACACATGTTACTCATCTGTTATTTTACAGTCTTGTGGTCTGAGTTGGCGCCGGTCTTTCTAAAGATTTAGTGTGTCGTTAGCACTCAGTATGGGCTCTGTGTATGTTTGTGACCACAGGTCTACCCTGGCCAGCCTGCATCAGGTTCGTATACCATGAGCAGTACTGCAGTGCAGGGTTACACTGTTCCCATGGAGCAGCTTCCGGCTGGAACCCCCATACCTGGCCAGCCAGCTCCCAGGTGAGTGTCACATACTCTAGTGTCTTGGTCTCCTGCTGCACTAAAGCACACTACAAATTGGTGAGATTCACAATTTTGTTGCCCCCTCTTCTTTTGAGTTTGTCTTCACTCACACTCCTCTGTGTACTATTATTGGGGAATAAAAGAGAGTCGGTCAGTTTACAACAGCAACACAATGTTTAAACACCTTCTTGGTAACTTTTTAATTAAGAGTTTTATTTTCGTTTGCTGTGTCAACTTTATGAGACTAGTTTGTTAATAAATCATCAAATACTGTTGGAGCCATTAAAAGGAAGCTGTGTAGATATAACCAAGTTTTTACTTGTTACACTCATATTTAAAGCCCCACTGACACTTTTATTAGATAGTTTTCAGTATTATTGATTCCACCTTCCTACTATTAGTTATACTTCTACCTAATTCAACCTTGCTCTAGTGTTATATTTAATGTTGCCGCACTTTTTCTATAGTGATGTTCATATGTACATGGGCCAGCCACCAGTCTACACTGCAGCTCCAGGCAGCATGGCCCCAGGAGACATTCAGTCCTACCAGAACCCAGCCACCGCCCCTGGACCCGCCCTGGGCACAACCCACGCAGGCATGATGCAGACACCAAACTACAGCGCCACATCTGGCCCAAGTATAGCACCTTCCTCAGACACCACACAGGTTCCCTACTCAGAGAAAGCCTTACTATAGGTCCCCCTCAAGCTCACTGTTATCTTCACACACATGCTCCAGAACTGATCAAATAGTGCTCATAGAGAACGTCTTTAGTATTTTTCATGAATTGTTTTATCATGGAACACCAGGTGGATGGAAAAATTCAAATAAGAGTAGATTTATGTTGACACATTTTAACACACACACTTGCTGGCAGGTATACAGTAAAAAGTACAGTTACAGTTCTCACTCCAGGTTTCGAACTGATTACAAGGTTTTGATTTGAAGAACTTGCACAAAGCTACACACAGTCCGAACTGTATTTCATTCTCTTCTGCATTTTTACTCTTCTCCTTCATGTCTTCACCTGATTCAGATATGAAGACCTAGAGTAGATTTCAGCTGCATTTATTGAAATTTTGGTCTTGAGTTAAACCTGATCACTTCCAAATCTAGATCTAATAGCAATATCTGCATTGTCCAGTTTTATGTATGAGACCTGGCATTTATTGATCGCCTTTTATGATTGGATAATTGGAAAAACTGTAGTAACAATTTATTTTATCAGTCAATGATTTGTTTTCTAGAAAGATTCCTTGAAAGAACTACACTTCCTTTTAATTGAATTTATAGGCAGTTGTTAATATCTAGGGGAATTAAAACAAGCAAAAAAGTGCTGAATTGTGTGCGTGTTAATAGACAAATTTCTAATTTTACTCAACTGATCTGTTGTGTACTAGTTTCTACATTATCTGTAAATTCTATAGTTCTGTCCTGGGAACTTTCTAGGAAATTATTTTAGAAAGTTAGACATGGCAAATAAAGCATTACCAAACTGTTTTGAGAAAACAAGTGTAACTGTAGCTACATCAGCTTAACCATATAACACATAACTTTGTTTAGTGTGAAATACACCCGGCCGGGACTTCCTTTACACCACCCCAAGTATGCACACTGGAGATACGCACATGGCACACAAACACAGTACAGGGAGGTATACAGGACATGACACAGCTGCACACTTACAGACTACAGTGGGGATAGCTCCACGCTATGCTACAGCCTTCTCACCCACTTACAGCAACAGCAGTGCAAGTCATGCCACAAAAGTGTTGACTTAAATGTACCCATTTTTTTTATTTTATTTATTTATTTTTTTTTTTTTTAAATCAGAAAAAGGACAATGATGTGGAAAACTTCAGGGTACTACTTTCTTTTAGAAGTACTGAAAACTGAAGCCACTTTGATATTTTAAGGGAAAAGAAGCAAGAACAACTGAAGCATGCACAGGACTCTTGTGTATATACTGTATTGAACTAGTCATGAAGCCACATGTTGACCTCACGAGTGATTTGTATGTTAACACAGCTCCGGGTGTTTCTCTCAACCTTAAAGGTGAACTCTGCAGTCGTGATGTCCCAGGTGAATTAAAGGTGTAAAGCCCAAAGAGGAAAAAATGCTCATATGTCATAAAAACACTAAATATTTTTCTTTTTCTTTAAACACAATTGACTCCTCACTTCATATTGCAGAGTTTACCTTTTCAAAATGAGCCGTGGTGGATGTAGGACTAACTCTGTCTCCTTTCAGGAGCTGTACTAACAGACTCATCCCAGAGACTTGGACTCTCTGAACTGCCCCAGTGTCTAAATCTCTTTAGTCAGTGTTAAAATGTTTTTTTGTAGTGTATTTTAATTTATGTTTTGATTATTGTTATGCCATTTTAAATGCGAGGCCGTACAGGATGTATGTATTCAGCGAAACGCAGAATGTGTGATATTCTGCCTAACTTAGTTGTATATTTAAATCTCTCGTGTGACAACATGGACATTTTCTCTCTGTGTTAGATACATGCTTATTGTACTGTAGAGTCAAATGGTAATGTGAAAACTCATCAAACTCCTCCCCATGCATTTCAAACGTGACCTTTCGCACAGCTGCTTAACACTAAAACAAATTCTACCTGAAGTGAGGTCAAGTTGCTGTGTCAGGATTTGTAAACGCATCTTTACCAGAGTCTTCATAAGCTAGCAGTTACAATTACACTTTGAGGCACAGAGACTCATCCATTTATACAGATAATTTGTATGACTACATCTTAAAAGTCTTTGGGACAGGGTTGATGTTTACAAAAACTGACTGGATTGTAAAAATCTGATGAAATAGGAAAGCTATTTATCTGTTGTATAATACTGAATGATGGAAAATGAAGGAATTACAAAAACAGCTTTAAATGTGTTTAGATTTTTCCAACTGCAGGGCAGACTGCTGTCATCTCAATTTTTCTTGCAGTATTACATTTTAGATGTGCTGTTACTTGCAATCCCACAACTGAAGCTCTGTACTTGGGGTTGTGCAAACATGAGGCCTCCACAACTTGAATTTTTGTTAATATAGTTATAATATAGAGAATCTTGTTTGTTTGTTTGTTTGTTTTTGCCACCTTCAACTAACTGCAAGAATGAAACTGTTAATCTGTTGGATCAAACAGGGCCGAAAATATCAAACGTAGAAGCTATTCTGGGACCACGAACCAGGAGCCAGTTAATCATTTCACACCATCCAAATGTAACATCTTGTTGCTCCGCAGCGTTGGACTGCAGCCCCGATGTAACTTAACTAAACAGGACTGAGATGCTGCCTGTTTTTAAGTTTTAAACCAACATTAATGTAAAGGTTCCATCTAAACTTGTACCCTGCTGTTTGTATGTATTCTTTTAACCATACTTATTAATTGGTATTCACAATAAAACCAGGCCAAATGTACAGAATAATATGTATGGTCTTGTTTAATTGATTTTAGAGCACTTACTAGAATTGTTCTTTAGTTATTTTATTTAGTTGTAGTCACTTTAAAAGCCCAGAAATGTACTAGAATTGGTGGGGTCCTTTAAAGAACACAGTTGTTTTTTAAGTTAACAGCTTTGGTTATTTCACCTCAGTGACTTCAGTTTGTTTTTGTCTGCCTTTGTATTGACGTATTAAATGAAGTCAGTTGGGGTGCATTTGTCCTTTTGTTGCCGGCTCTTTGTAACAAAGTTAATCAAACCACAGTTTTTGTTAAAATCTTCGAAATTAACCCTAATTGTTTATTTCATGAATGTTTAATGTTATAGAGGATTACTAAAGCTGTGCCATTACATATAGACCACACCTATGCCTTGGTGTGCATCAGCTTCACTCTCAGAAATCACCTGTATTTAGCATATTTTCTGCTTTGAACGTAGTTTATTTTGTCACCAAAGTGATCACAGTATGGTGTATACTCCAAACCTATTTAAAATCAATACCTAGTGTGGGATTGGGAGCTCTGAGTTCTAAAATTACCTCCTGCCTTTCCACTAGATGGAGATATTGCTCCAAGACATCATCAGGTTAGGTGGAAAAGCTGAGTGAAGTATAACAAAGAGAAGAAGAAGAATGCCAGACATTTGTGTAGCAGGTATTGTTGTGGTAGGGACAACTGTGGTGCTGTTATGAACTGCTCATAATTTTTGTTTTGTTTTTTTTTTCTTTACGTCAGCTCAATGCTGCGAGTTTGTTCCTCCTCTTTAATTTGCTTATCGAATACCCCTTTAAACTAGGTAAATCTCAATTAGATCACAATGTTTTTCAGAACCCATGTACAGTTATCCTCATTGCAATTACAGGATGGGAGTGGTCTTGCTTGTGAGCCCATAAACGGGTATGATGAACTCATTACCTCAGCAATAAAAGAATACAACCTTCAGTGCAGTGACAGAGTCCAATGACCATACTGGCTCGGTTTTTCTTTTTTTTTTTTTTGGAGATGATTGTCAAAGTCTTGAGGTCCGAGTTAAGACCAGCAACTGGCATTCAGGGACCATGCCCTCGGGAAAGACGGTCAAGCTCATCCTGTATGAGGCGCTGCAGTTTACAGCTTTTATCGTGCCAGTCTTTGTGATATTTGAGAGGTTTGCCAGGCTCATACATAATGTGAAAGGACAGGATCTAACCACCTACTGGCTGGTGGTGGCGGTCTCTACCGCCTATGTGACCTCTGCGAGCCTGCTGGTGTGGGTTCCCCTGAAATATATGATCCTGAAGCGGCGGTTCCTCACAGAGATCACACAGTGGTGAGTACAGCTGTTGACAAGTAGTTTAGTAAATATCACCATGTCGAAGTCTCTCCATTAACCAACATCTTGCCAAAGTGGCCATGATTAAAAATTACCCCAGGAGTTAACATAGCTCCATGATGTGGAGCTAATTTAAATACTGTTAATATACAGCTGGGTAGCCTGATCTTTAACAAATTATCACTTTTTATAAACCCATTGTATGTTTTTATGTATAAAGACAATTTCGCATAAAAACTGAGTTGGAAATGCAGCCTTGTTTAAAATTCAGTTCAGAGGTTTTACTTCTATATCCTCTGGAATAAACAGCAGCTCATGGTGACTGTTTGCTCTTGTTAGAAAACTGGCTACAGTAGATATCACTTTACAACGGATATTACTCAGTCAGTTTGTTGACTTTATGCCTTTTCTCTGCCTGTGCAGCTGTTACACTATGTTTTAGTGTTGACCCATCCATCATAATTGTAGCTTGTGGCTACAATAGTCTTTGTTCAGCTAATGTTACATGGTTTCTACTAACTAGTAATGATAGACATCAGATAAATATGAGTAAAAAGTACATTATTTACTTCTGAAGTGTAGTGCAATAGAAGTGTGAAGTACTGTTGCATAAAATGATATTTAAGTATTTTAAAATTATACTTTCCAGTGTAATTGTTATACAGGTCTGGCATTAGCAATACAACAGAATGTACAATAGCACTTCTTAAAAAAGGAAAAATTGTTCATAATACTGAGATGGTCATCATTTGAATGTGAATGAAAACAACCTCCTTTATTTTTCAGGAGACCAACAGTGCTGGTGTACCTCATGCTGTGCACATTTCCATGCTTTGCTATTTTAATCACCAGCTCCAAGGTAATGTCATCAGTACTGATCAGCCTTGTCACCTGTTGATGTTTGTTTGGTCCTGTCATGCTCCGATGGGCTCCCTGAAGAGGCAGATTTTTTATAAACAGCCCATTTGTGGCACAAGCTTGATTCATGTGTAAGAGAGCATTAGAGGACTATAATTATTCAGAGTGATGATTGACGCAGCACACAGAGACAGAAAAGCATTGCTTGTCATCAGTAGTACTCAGTCTCTGGAAACTTTGCTTCTTAAAGTTGTATCCAAACATTTTGTCAACATGCACTGAGAAGGACTTTGGCATTGTCATAACTAAAAAAAACAAAAGCCAGTGAAAATGTGTCCCTGTCACAAGACTGTACCATCTGTCTGGGATATTCAGTAACCCATAGTGAAGATAGCAGGTTTGCCATTAACCCAAACTATTATACCACCCTCCACTCTAGAAAGACTGGAATTTTCATTGCGTTTTCATTACTCTGCATCTCCACCCGTTACATAAATAGGAGCAACGGATCACAAAGACGTCATATATTTTACAGCCAATGTTTCTTGTGTTAAGGGCATTCAGTAGCATCTTAATGTCTGTAATGATGGGGTAATAAAATGGGATAGGTTCATAAAATGTGAAAAGCTCCTCTCTCTCTGTCAACCCAAATGCGGTAAAGACTTTCAGTTTTGTTTCTTCATCCCTCAGTTCTTTCTACTATTGAATTCATATTTGGTTAAACAATTCTCTTTCATACTGTAGGTGCAGGTGGATGGAGGACACTGCTACGACCACTTCGCTGAGTTGCCTGTGTCCTTGGTGCTTTTCTCTCTCATCTGTGTGGATATCATAGAGCAGATTCGACCATGCAGGCTCACTGGACAGTGTAAGTCCAGGACTTGTTAGTGTTAATAAATGATGATGGTGAAATGTATATTAAATGCCCTGCATTTAAAATGTTTACATTTAATGTTGATAGACAATTTGACATGCCACAGTAGGAAAAGTAAAAGTCAATAATCGAATGATGGCTGCTTCACACTGTCTCACTGGGACATTTGAATAAAACATAGCCGTAGATGAAGTTTTTAGTTAACACCTGTGCTTGTCCTGTTATGAAATGCCACAATAAGTGTATTTCTTTACGTGTGTGGTGTAAATGTTCTCAAGCTTTGAGAAAACCAGCAAAAGAAAATGTGAATGAACAAGTGTTCCTGTGCACTACCCTTGTCATCTGCAGCGGACCGCCTGGATCCTGACTTTGACCTGCAATCCCCCGTCCTCACTCACCTGGAACATTTGACCTCAGTATCAGGCCAGATGCACCACGCTGAAGGCCTGAACAGTTTGACCCAAGGTCATCCAGAGGCCCGAAATGGCAGCACCTCAGGCAGATGGCAGGATATTGCTGGCTCCGCCATCCACTCAGCTCCCAGCTCACGAGCACCCAGCGCTGCCTATCTGTATTCCTTGTCCGCACACCCTCAGTCCCACTCTGGTCCTCTGGGTTTCCTGTGGAGAAGGGATGGAAGGTCACAGGTGTTTATGGATACTTTCCTGTTCTGGTTAGACACTGTGGAGATGGTGAGAGTGGCAGGAGAGCCATCGGTCTACTACTCAGGCTGGGTTTTCCCTGTCTACATTCTTGCCTTCCTGTCCACTCTCCGCATTGCCATCACTCCTCACAACCCCTTGTTGTCCTCTGCTGGAGTTGCTCTGCAGGACCTTCCTTTCTTTATCATTCGAGTAGCTTTGATTATTGTGTTTGGTTATGTGACACCTCTATTGTACCCATTGAAAAATGTGCTGGTGAGCCTGACTTATATCTACTTTACATTCCTGACAAAGCTGAGGATATTCAGAAGTCATAGCATGTTTTGAGGAGGAGTGACACATTCTGTTGTTGATGAAAGATCTGCTTAGATGGAGCATGGTTGAGCAGTTGCTATGTCCATGTGTAAGGAGCAGCACTAAGGAAACATGGTGCTGATAATGAAGAGCAGCATCTTATGGATAATAATGGCTGCAAATGTGTTGGAGTTGAATGAATGGCCTTTCAAGTGTAAAAAAGGATTTTAGATTTAAAACAAAAAATATAAGACAGTTGTATTTACTTTTTTTGTGACCTATTTGAATCCATATGTATTTATTGATATTTAATTTTATGATTACCTGATATATATTCATTTTTTTTATTTGTACCACATTTGTTAAGATAGTACAAAGGGTTATTAAAAAAAACCTGTATACAAACGATTTTAAACCATTTACAACAACCGTAACTATACTAAAAAGTTCTGTATCTGCTAGATGTGTCAGTAGGCAGCTGTTTAACATGTCTGTTTAATGAGCTAAGCTTCTGATATTGTTGTTTGTGACCAAAAATAAATCACTCTTTTATGGAAAACATATATGCATTAGTAGTTTATGCTGAAATAGCTTACTAACAACATTTATATGCCATTTATTGGCTTTATCTTGGCCATGGAGCAGCTAATGCTTTACAGAGGGTTAATACGTTCAGTGGGAAACAAACTTAATATATGGTGTTAGTATGGCCTCCAGAACAACTTCAGCGCTCTTTGGCACAGTGTCTTGCCACTTTTAATCCCTTACTTTGTCCTTGGCTGTTTCAAGTTAGCATCTCATCCCTTTCTTCTGCCTCTGGCGGAGACACCAAGGTGGTTTATGTGTTTTCATAGCCCTATAAATGGACTGTAACCTTGGTGTGTGTATCAGTGCAGAATGGCACAGTGACAGCACAGAGAGATGCCGGTGTATTCGGCAGTTGTCCACTAGCACATCTGACAGAGTTATACCCCATGGAGCACTTGGTGTTTGTCTGTCTGATGGACAGGCCAGGGTTGCAGGACAAACTGCTTTGGGGAATAGTCAAACTGGTGACTCCTTTCTCTCCAAAAAAAAAAAAAGAATTTGAAAAACAGCAGCAAACATCCTGCTGCATTCCTGTTGATAAACTAAGTAAATCTCTGAAGGAAATTTATATCGGCTTGACCTGCAGTGCTGCGCTGAGAGGTAAGAATTGTTAAAGGCATTATTAATGGTACACACAGCGAGCGACAGAACACTAGCACAGACGATGTAATTCACAGTAAGGGGCCAGAGCTGGCCTGTTTTCATTTTCTGAAAGAATGTGAACTAAAATTAGCTTCCTTTAATTTCCCCATAGCTGTGATCATCCTCCTTAATGAGTCATACTATAATCTGCAGGAAAGCATTAGAGCAGCTCAATTTACTATGGTCATTTTACAACAGGCACTATTTTTTGTTCCCATGACATAATTGATTTGATTTGATTTATTCTTTCAAGCATATAAAACAGTTGATATAACAACACACATTTTTACACACAATCCAATATCAATTTGCTTATACCTAGTACATGCTTGAATGGAGTAGGAAGAAGTCAGACTTATCCAGTCCTACCCCATGACATCATCTTACCATCATTGGTTTGCAAGCAATAAATGATTCACTTCTACACACACACATATTATACTAAAAAAAGAATATAACAGTGTTAACATTCTTACATCACACAAGT